AATTTTTAAACGACTGGCTTCATTCATCAAACCAAAGAATGGGCAACAATACTCGAGAATGGGAAGTACAAACATACGATAGAGCCTTAATTTAATTTCAGGAAGATAGAAATTGTAAGAAATAAAGCCACAAATCTGGGCAGCTTTGGCTGTAATTCTGTCAGCGTGTGGCGAGAGATCAAGATTACTAGTGTAACTTAAACCTAAATCCTTGATGGTGGTACATTCATTAATAGGTGTGCCTTGAAAGACCAGAGGTTGGGGTAGCCTATCAGGTCCAAAACACATATAGCGACATTTAGACGGAGAGAATTCCATTAGCCATTTTGAGCTCCAAGCTGAGAGAGCAAGCAAGTCAGCATGGATTTGCTCCAGGCAATGAAGGCTCGTAGATTTTTTGAAAGAATATACACACCTGAGATCATCGGCATAAGTAAATGATTGAGAATGTTTAACTGCTGCCGAAATATCATTAATGGAAAGCAAGAACAAAAGAGGACCTAAAACGGTGCCTTGTGGGACACCACTTACAATAGGGCTTTCACTGGAAAGTGGAGATCCCACCAAAACCGTTTGTTTACGATTAGACAGGTATGACCTGAGAAAGTCTATTAGTGGACTGCGAATTCCCATAGCTTTTAATTTAACCAAGAGTCTTTTATGTGGTACTTTATCAAAGGCTTTACTAAGATCAACATAAATAACAACAACAGATAGATTATCATTACGAAGAGAGGTAAGTAGATTGAGAAACGACAGATGACATGTTTCACAAGAGCGATCTGGAAAAAACCATGCTGGGAAGGGCTAATAATTTGATTGGCTATGCAAAAGTCGGTAATTTTTACGGCGATCAGTTTTTCAAAGATTTTGGCGAAAGAGGGTGTTTTATGGACACCTCGATAGTTCTGTACGTTAGAACGACAGCCAGACTTAAATACTGGAATAATAATAGAAGTTTTCCTACAGTCAGGAAAGAAGCCATTTACGAGGAATACTGAAAAGATTTTGCTAAGCAGAGGAGAAAAATCTCGTGGATGTTTTATAAGAGAGTTTGGGATATTGTCCGTACCTACTGAGTGAGAGTTAGGAAGATGGCTTATCAGATTTTGAATACATTCAGGAGAAAAATTAATGATGCTAAGAGAAGCATCGGACAACGAAGGAATTAAAGGGATGGGGTCAGTTTCAATAGTGAAATGTTTGGCAAAGAACGAATTTAAAATTTATGCTTTGTCTGACTCCTCTGTAATGAAGGCATCGCTAGTACTAAGCGATGGCGGAAGGACTTGGTGGGACTTAGCAGATGATCTTTGATGGAAGATCTGAGCAACTGATTTAGAAGCCTTCACGTCATTAATAGCTAAAGACTCTCTACGACTATCTCGCGCGAGCCTCATTTTCGAAGCTAGTTCAAATATTTCAACGATTCTTAGATGAACTGATAATGAGCTCACAGAAGGATCGTTAAACTGCTTCCGTAACTTTTTAAGTCTGTTTTTAAGAAAGTGTGGGATAGCAGTGGAATTAGCACTCGATTTGAACATTTTCCGAGGAATAAGGTCAAAAAGACCTTCTGTTACGCATTGTAATAAATTGTTGAAAAAAGTTAGATCATTATTTGAAAAAATATTGTGCCAATCAAGAGTGCACGTAAAGTTACTTACTAGTTCCTTGTTAACATTAGCAAAGTCAAAAATACTATGTTGTACTGTTGGCTTTGCGGAAATGTCAACTGTAAGGCGACAATGGATTAATGCATGATCACTTGCAAAAAGGTCATGATAGAAATCCATAGATAAAGGGAAGGTGCCATTAGTAAAAATCAAGTCTAAAACACTATCGTTTCTGGTCGGAGAGTGAACTAACTGAGATAAGTTTGAAAAGTAAATGATGTCAAGCAGCTTGTGGAATTTAGGAGGAGAAGTATGTGTGTGCCAGTCAATTTCTGACAAATTAAAATCGCCTACGATTATCTCGACATCGAAAGAAGTTTCTGCAATTTTTTCAAAGAGTTCACAGAGCTGGCTTTCATTTCCGGAGGAACAAGGAGGGTTATATACACATCCGACTAAGGCTTTCCTATTTTGCGGAAGGAATACCGAAGCAGAACCTAAATTTCCAGAGAAAGAGGAAATGTTCAAGTCATAAGGCGATTGTGTAAGTGAGGCTCTTATGTAAAAAAGGCATCCACCGCCGCGTCTTTCGGCACGATCCTGGCGGTATAAACTGAGGCTATCTATATTAGGTGCCGAGTCTGAAATTAGAGAGTGAGCCCAAGATTCTGTAATACGCAATACGTCTGTGTCAAACTCAACAGCTACACTTCTTAGTTGTGCCATCTTTTGTACGACAGATCTTGCGTTGAGAGAGACAATACTGAGCGTATTCCTAATACGTAGGTTCCGCTCATTGCTACTTATAGAAAAGGAAGAGCCGGAGGTGGAAACTTAAGCTGTTAAAACGAAGCAATTGGTGGAGGACAAGGTTGCTGCGGTCTAAATTTGTGGAGTAATTACTAACTAGAGATGCAGCATTAGGTGGAAAAATATTTGAGGAGGACCCAGGAAGAGGAAAGCTTTTTTGTGGGGTTGGAAAAATAGGAGGCATGAAAATAGTATTTTGGAAACTGTTAACATAATATGAGGGGTAGCTTATGTTAGGTAGCGGACGTTATGGCTTCGGGAAACAGTTAACATCAGGAAACGGCTTTATTATTTGGGATGTCAGACTAGCAATGGGATTGGAAAATTTATCAGCAAGGGTATACACTTGCATTTTGCATTCTGGTGTGTAAGAGGGCTTCACAACTGGGGCGTTAAGTTGAGAAGTCAGGATAGAAACAGGTAAAGATCTCCCTGAACTATCATCTAGCTTATTAGACCTAACTGCAAGGTCAGACCTGAGTGGCCAGGCGTGGGAACGGGGTGGATTCGATGTAAGTTTATTAACCAAATCACTATTCTGAATGCTGGGAGTCGGTTGTGCTTCAAGGACTGGCTCATCTTTACTGTCAAGATCAAGCTCCCTAGTAAATTTGGGAGCCGCATTTGAACAATCCTTGCTTCGTGGGGGAGTTTTAAGGAGGCTAGTTTTAACTGTCTCTGTGATCAGGTGATCAGTCGAAGAGCTAGATGGAACTGGGGCCGCTGTAGATAGTGGGGAGATTTGGTCGACTCCAGATGGAGAAACTGCTTTAGAGGTAAAAGACATATGAGTAGAATTCGGGGGTGGCTTTACGTTTGTTAATGGGGGAGAAACTCTTCGTTGCAGTGCAGTTTGATCTCGACCAATAAATAGCCGTCACAAAGTTCGAGTCAGCGTCGGGAGGAAAAGACAACATCTTTCTTGTCCACTATCGGTTTTGTCAGATGCGTCAGGAATCCAGTCAATACTTTGGTGACTTTATTACGAATCTGACTCTGATTATCCAGGACTATAGGTATAAAGAGATGAAAGCAGACAACTTCGAGCAGGCAATGCCTGTTCAGCAGTTAATTGTTGGTTTGCGCGATGAGAAACCTCGGGAAAACCTCTTGTCAGAGAAGAGGGCCTTTGTCGTAGGAGAAGCCGTGTGATATCACCAATCATTAGGAGCGCGTACGGCAAAACCTCCAGCAGCTGAATCAGTCAAACGATGGAGTGATATCATCCTTGGAACCTGAACTGGCTGTCTCCGTGGTCAACACTGCTGGGTTTTCATCCAAACGGCAATCATCAACTTCATCAAAACAACTACCATTTTTCTGCTATTCAGTTCGTAGGCTGATTTGGGTTCTTCGCTGCATATGCGATCCTAGTGTTTTTTTTGGTTAACAGCAGAAGCAATCCTCGAGATGACGAGACACGAGTGACCCAACGCGATCTTTCACTCTCAGCTCGGATTTCAAGCTATTTAGGAACAGTAAGGACAGCGGGCATCATAGAAGCGCCTGAAGATGTGATCAGAATACTTTTTCTGCTAGTAGCAGATGTCGAAACAGGGGATCCGCGGTTTCGTTAACAGATCTTTGACGTCGAAATTAATATATGGTGTTAAAATCTGCGAAAATCATCTCTTTCGAATGGATACACAGAAGCAGGGTATATTATTCATGGGGACAGGATAAGAACCTAAGAATGTTATGTGGCGTCTGACCCAGAGCGGAACTGACCTTGACGGTGAGGGCTCTTTATACCAGAACCCAGAACTAAAACCTCATCGTGTATTTGAAGCTTCCTACAGGAAACAAGCAAACGCCACAGGACTACAATTCAAGGAGTTAGAAAAATCCATTCCCTAGGCTTTGCCTATCATGTAAATGCACTAAGACTATTAAATTAACGTTTTGTTTCAGGTGCGTTTTTATCCATCTTGTCCTCAACAGGATCTTTAGGGGCGCTGTCAAATACCATCAGATAGTGCGGACCACACCGTTATATCCATGACGCATCCCTATTAATCTTAAGAAACTTTGTTTTTTTAAGGTTTTTGACGGATTTAAACATTCAGTGTGTTTTTACGTCCATTTCCCTGTCCCTTTATGCTGATGCCAACAGCAGCTTTCGTAACTTTTTTCTGTCATCTGGGTGACATTTGAATAAGCGAATACCGCTTTCATTTACGCCTCATCGAACTTTATTAACTTTATAGTAATTTTTCACGCTTTTTTCGGTTTTGTTTATTATCAATCCTCTTCCATCGCCTTTTCATGTTCAGGGGTTTTTACTTGTTTCCTGATAGGCAGTCCAAGCTTTCACCTTTTTCTAAAAATACGCTCTTATAGGATCATTTCTAACGACTGTGGGGCTGCAAACTGACCTCCTGAGCTTTTCCTGCATATACTTAGCAGTTCAAGTATGAAGACATCGAGGTATTCAAGAGTTCGTAATACCTGGCTAAGTCATGCGTTCCTATCCCGGTCTAACTGACTAAGCTCTACTGCATACCTTGGTAACCATAGCGATAGAAGCCTGATCTTTAAAGGCAAAAATTTAAACTACCCAGATCTTCCCACTCGATGTCGAAAAACTATTGTGCCGAACAGGTTTGTTTATTCTAAAGTGCAAATAGTTTTAGTATGAAGATGCCTTTAAGCCACGAACCCTCCAGTGGTTTGGACCAACTAAGGATTTACCAGACGTGAGTCTATCATGTTGGCTAATATTTAAATATTATAATATGTAAATCATATATATGTAAATATGCAATCAAATTCTGCCAAATCAGAAAAATTAACAAAAACACTGAAGGAATATCACAGAGAAATTACTGCATGCTTATAAATATAGGTAATTTGTCTGCGATATTCTTTTAGTTTGTTCATTAATTTTTTTAATTCGATAGAATTTTATTGCATAGTTTAGCTCCATATACTGTGTTAGGGTCGCAATCGTACCCACGCGCTAGTTTTGCGAATTCCGTTGACTAATTTTGAGTTATGTCTGCTTCGCGTGATTGAATCTGAATCCTCGTTAATATGCCCGCTCGTCTTTTGATAGTCAATCTATCATTACGGGCGCCATGTAGGTAAAAATATACGCTGTTGGGCAGTAGTGAACCCGTCAGCAAATTCTTACAGTCGAATCACATTTGGAAATATAAAAAGGTCGCTTGAACATCTGTACTGCAGAACTGACGAGTCGCTCTACACCTTTACCATGGTAAACGCTAAGGGAAATAAAGTGCCCATCATTCATCTAGCTGCCGAGTTACGAGTGTTCCGATAAAAAATACGTTAATTTCTTTGCCTTGAAGTGCGTCTTTTGCTGACTTCTAAGCAGTTTTTAATGACTGTAGTTTTGGTTGACAGTTACCTACCTTCCCGATATCTGTGTTCGATGTCATCCCTACCAAAACATGGCTCCGGGGGCAATACGGGGCTAGATGGGACTAGGCCCCGTCCAAATTTTGGTGAATTTTCATCCTTTCTGATGATGTCAGTCTGCATTATATCGGACAAATTTTTACTGTCTTATCGTTAAATATATGCTTTTTGGCCTGTATAATGCGTTTCCAGGGGAATAAAATCGAGAGAAATTAATTTTTCCCTAAGGCAAATATTGGCCTTCTTTAAGTTAAGAAGTATATAGTTCTCGTGCTAGTTATCTAGCATTTCGACTTCAGGCGGTTTTGCTGTACTACGTGCACACTGTCGATATTTATGCCTCCATAATCTCGTCGTTTGACATGTAATACACCGATGTAGCCTGAAAATGTTGCTTTGTTTTGGCCCGGTTCACAGGAAAATTGGCACGACATCAAGTTGCACGGCACTAGCAGTCACTGCACTCACAATAGACAACTCTACGTTCGCCGTACCTGAGATAATCTTAAGACAGTAGGCAGATGAGGAATCGATATAGGCTGATGGGACTTGAGTTGCCATTTCTGACTTATGTATCGTTGTCGGCCAAACACGTCTCAACATCAGCTTTAGCATAGATACTGGTCTAGGTTCTCCGGCAGATCTTTGAATGCCCTCCTCATACCTTTTATATTTCCAGTTTCAGCCGACGGGATACCAAACCCACGGCCTAGTTGTAGGACTTTTGGCCTAGTGTTCGGTGACCAAAGTGCCAGGGTTCAAGCCCCGATTTAGCTACACCTGGTTACCGAGCCAAAAAATGACCACCACAATCCATTCACGTCTTAACTGATGTTCCCCTTGGATTGAGATATGACCTCTTTTGGTCTTTTTCTGCCAGCATGCGAAGCACCGTACAGCACCCTCCAGGTTCATCGCCAATGACCGCGGACACCTAAACGAGCGACAGGATAGGCATCCGGGCAGAAATCCATTCGGCAACTTTGTGGGTAATTGGGATACACCTTGTCATCATCCCGGCAACCACGTGGACAATGTTATCAATCGATCCAAGCCGGGCATTCAGTATCTGCAGAAACAACGAGACCTCTACAATGCTGCAATTAGTGCAAATGAAGCTAAAAACGATAGGGTCACAGCGGCAGCCGTAAGAAACCTCCTTTCTCTCTACTTGACTGTTCATTTCCCTGTGGATCCAACCATCATATTCGGTTTCTTTCAGTTGTGATCACTTTATTAACGAGAGTAAACTCACTCTCTTTTAACTCTAAGGAGGCAATGAAGTCTAATTGACCTGATCTTCCATGGTCATTCTACAAACTTGAAATTATGGGAATTAAATCTTGCTAAAAGTTCCATAATTTATGCCCTAGGCTTAATTGATTAAATTGATAACATTTGCTGTTCAACAGGTTGCTTTTTGCGTAATCGAGTGCTGTATGTGCATAAAACTAGATTCTTTGATTTTTCAGGTAGTCTGTTTTCAAAACTCACAGAAAAGTTGCACTAGTATAGGACTTTCGGGCTCGTTTACCTTCCTATCATGCTCTTTTCCTCATGCAAATCTGAGTCGGCCTCATAAATACATAGATTTGTCAACCCTCCGACGAATTTATTTGTCAGTTTCGTGATAGGAATAAACTTAAGACCAATCTCTCCGGAATTTTAGATAAGCTCTCCTTGTTTTGACGATTTATTATAACCTCGGAATTTTATTTTGGAACTCGTTCAGTCTGTCTCACACATTTTAGCCAAATTCGAACTAGTTGAGAAGTGCGTAAAGTTTCGATTATTCTTTCAAACTGTAACAGACTGTATAATTTTTCAAAGAAAAAAATTTAACCAAATCTTGATGCATGGCTAGCCTCATTTAAATTCTCTCCGTAGCCCCAGTTCCCAGCCGTAAAGCCGATCTATTTTTTCCGTTGCAGTTGAAAAAGGAGGCCGGCATAAGCTGAACTGGTCCGCCCAAATGATCCTGCTGCTTGCCATAACTCTCATTTTCTCCTGGGGCCACCCCCATTTTTATTTTCATCATTTAATAAAATATGATGAAGGATTACTTTCTGCGAAGGTAGCCTCCTCGATAAAGTATTAAGTCACCCTAGGAAACGTTTCAGCCTTTGTACTGCCTCTGCTCTGGCCGCTAGTAATCCTTACAGAAAAGCAATTTTGCAATTTCTTGTCAACGGAAAGAAATGTGTTCCTGCAATTCATTAGTTCTTGGCTGCATGCGAACGAAGTTCCGAACCACGTTTAATAATTGTTGCTGATAATCATTTAGCGACCGATCTAGACTGTCCACCCCCTACTTCTTACGCTGCGTTTTCACGGGTTTTAATTTGGGCCTACTGAATTAAGTTGGGAGCGTTTAGTTTCATACTGAAGCGACGCCTCACTGCTTCGATGGCCAGAGAAAATATGTTCCTGCCATTTTGCTTTACACTTCCGAGCTTAAACCATTCTAGGCAGTTTCACAATGACTGGCTGTCAATAATTTAGGCCGCATGCCAGTAAGGACTGTTGGAACGGGGATGACTATCCCTGAATTACTAGTCACTATTAGATGGTCATATCGCAACTGAGGCTCGAACCTGAATAAACTACTCACTTACCATCTGAGACGCGTACCTACGTCCAACTATAAAAACGAACATGCTTTTGGATTCAATTTTCAAAGCTTGACGCAAGTTCTTGGTAGCCAACTGATCCATATTAGGACCTCAGGTCGTCTGCGCCCGAAGCTGAGACACGGGTGTCTAATAACAAACAAGCCTGGTATTAAAATGTCGTCGACATGATGGACTAGGAGCAGTCGTCTGTTGCATCACGGAAGGCATTCAGCAGGAGTGCCAGCAGCCTAACTTTCCCTCAGTAATCAAAGCAATAACCGTTTTTTGCTTCTTGAAGTCGCTTATCTCTCAATCTAAATCTCACCGCATTGTCACCCGCACCATCGTCTTGCAGCAGCCACTCCGTAAGCGACTGTTGAGTGTGTTCTGCTGCCAGTCAGGGTGTTTTCTGATCACCGACTGCTTAGATAACCGAAGGTTTATCTATGGCCGCCTAAGCAGGCATTTAGGACGACATTTATTCTAATTGCTGACCAGTTATTGCTTAATGGTCAACACATGACGACAACGTGACTACCGCGAACGCTGGCTCTTACTGCGTGCCTTTCAACATGAATGCAACACCGGTGACTCGTGCTTGAATTATTTGCTGATAAGGCAGACTTGAGTAGTATCTGCCGCACCTTCTCCTCCCTCAGACACCAGGCTCCAATAGCAAGGAAGCGGATTCGGGCGCAGTGGCTAACAAGGCTGGGCAGTTCATGGACGCCTGTCATGGTGACAGCTCGAGCGTCGATTCCGACGATGTCCACCGTATGCTTCACGTCTGGGTGAGAACAGGGACGGTGACTTGCTTTTCGAGGCGGCGATTGACGGGCGACTCCCATTCTTAGATAACCTTTGGGATTAAGGAGGACCTTCTGAAGCGCATTCCAGATTTCGAAACTGACCGTAGACGAAAGATTACTACGGGTGACTACTGTTCAGGATGAGAGTCTAACAAAGATCAGCTCTTGATCCGCTCCTATTTGTCGTCCATCTAAATGACCTAGTACAGGAAGTGATGTCCCCTATAGTGTTCCTTGTAGACAGTCTTAGTCTGTGGAGGGAATAAAAAAATGGGAGAGGACTCCAGGTATTGCAACAGAAGCTACAGATATGGAGCATAATTCATGAAATCCAATGTTGTCAAATGTGTGATAATGCACGTAGTGCCAGCGAGACGAGGAAAAAATGTAACCTCATGGCAGTTTTTCTTGGAAAATCAACTATTGAAAACCGTCGATGTGCAAAAAGACTTTGGAGCATTCGCAAATTACGATCTAAGCATAACAACACAGTGTTCCAAAGTCTTTACGCGGGTAACGTCAACTATTATGACAATACGCAGAATGTTTGTCAGACTGAATGTGGATATCTTTGGTAAGCTTTGCGGAGCATTTTTCCGGTCAAACCTGGGACATGCGGTAAAGGCTTGGCGACCGTGGCTTCGGAAAGACATAGATATTCTTGGAGGAGTACAAAGACATGCTACAGCGCCTAGCCGCCTTAAACCTCTACTCCCTCCACTATGGACATGACAGAGGCGACCGTATGCTAACTTTTCGCCTGCTACGGTGACTTGATGTTGATGTGAACTGGGAAAATCTATTTGATATGGCACTGATGACGAATCTTGGACGTCATGAGTGTCAGCTTGAGGAGGAACTGTGACGCAATAACTATAAACATGCTACTATCTTAATTTCAATAAACCGTTTTGTTTGCGTTAAATTTAATATTGTTGAACGGACTGCGTGCAGGCGCGATCAGTGTTGTCCGTCGTTATTTACCAAATTCACCAGCTTCTGTCATTTACTCCAAATACACTAATTTGATTTGATCGGATTTGACCTTAAACACTAAAAGACCGATGGATAGCTGCGTACAACGGTTTCTATCAAAGAGCCATGTTCAGAGACCATTCTGCGGTATGAGGGGTAGATATCCTGTCCCTTCCAAGCGAAGTTCTGTCAACAGCCCACCAAATGGAGCCAAGGCTCATGGCCAACCAGACCACAAAACCAGAAACCTGACAACTTCGTCCACATTTGAGAGAGGTATTTGAGCTCATCGAGAATCAACTGGAATAACACTAAACACAAGCATAAAAATAATGTGGATGACGATCGAATATGTAAATCATAGTTTTATTACCATACCATGTCGCTTATTTGATTTAGGTCGGGGTTACGTTTCTGACTAAATTTTAAAAATACTTACATTTGTGACAGAGGTTAAGATTAGATCTAAGGTTAGGATTGGGGTAAATGTTAGGGTTAGAGAAAGGATTTGATTTGGAGTTATGGTTCCAGTATGCTCCACATCAGGGTGAGAGCAGGGATGGTGACTTGCACCTGAATTGGTTTATGGTGATAGGAACTTTCGCAGCATCTACCGCGTCTGGACAGTGGTTCAGCTTCCAGTTGAAAGTGTACTTTCCTTGTGTTGGGAGTGCCTACACTCTTAAAAAAGAGCCATCCAATCACTGGAGGCTATGTGGGTTTTCTCCAGCACGCTGTCATCATGATCACAGCAACTCGCCATTGGCCGCCCCTCTCGAGCCTGATCGATTCGGGCATGGGATTAGTCGATTAGCTCGTCTAGAGGCTCCTTCTCGAAGTGGATTGGGCCGAATGCAGGCGAACCCCAGTAGGATTTTATAAATACGCTCGACCAGGATTTCCAGTAACAACCTCAATGGGGGACGGCGGGGTTCCCACTTGGCGCGACGCGGGCCTGCAGATGGACCTGGGTGCGCACTCCCGAACCCCGATGCAGTCCTGCGCTAGTCCAACACATCTACTGCCTGGCCCATTTCGGAAGCAACACGTGTCTTGCATACCGCCTCATCCCCATAGCATGTGCCAGGCTTTTTTGAGGGTGGCTTGAAGCCTGCACGTGTGAAGGTCCTATCCAGTAGGTGTTGTTGCAGCCTTACTCTCAGTTCTGAGAAGGACGAGAATATCTCGTCAATTGGTAGACCTTTGAGCCATGACTGTAGTGCTGGATTCAAGTGCGTCGGTTTTATTTTAGTGAGAAATGCGTTTATTTGCTCCGAGTGTGGGTCCCCTAGAGTTGCTCTCCCTCTCTCATATACAGTGGGTGGGCTGACTCATGAAATGTCAGCCGAAATTTCCAAATGCGTCCCCGTTTCGAAAAGATTCATTAAGTAGGATTGTAAAACTAATCATCATGGAGCATAATTATATAATAGTACAGTAACCTCAGGGTGTCGGCTTTCGAATGAACTTATTTCAGACTGCATGCAAGAACTATACTCTGCAAAAAATGACTACTAATGTAGCATGCACTTTTCTCATTTATTTTAGATGCCCTTAAGAGTTCAATTATATTTCATAAAAAAAATACATTAAAATATTCATTCTTATATTTATTTGGTATAGAGTATAGATTTTGCATGCAGCCGAAAATAAGTTCTATCTTGGATGTGGCTGCGTTACGAAGAGATAAAAGGCACTGTTTAAAACTGGGAGGGGCGGGTTATCACATTTGAACTGGCCATTCCGAAAGATGTGAAAAATATATCGACTGGACGGATTATGTTGACAGTGGATCGACTGGATGACCAAACCAAGACAGCAGTTGGAAAAGTTTTTTGAAACCGAATTATACTCTTCTTCCGAGTATGAAATTGGAGGTATAAGGCATGAGTAGTGCTCCTCCAAATCTGACCGTTTAGTCGTCCCAGGCAGCTGAGGAACTTCACTATGGGTCGCGACTTTGCTACAGTAGGATGAAATGACCCAAATTGACTGGAATCACGGTGGAGAGATGCTCCTCGATCAGGTTATGGAACGCGCTCGTCCCACTGTGCTTTGGATATCAAACTAGAACCCTCGCAGATAGTCGCATAGAGAATATCAGCATAGGTATCGCCAACGTCCTCTTCATACGAATTTTTGAGATCTGAGGAGGAAGGATGGGATAAACTGAGGGAAACACGCGGTGTGGAGACCTACATACTCCGGATACTCGAGCCATCATTCAGATGTCAAACCCCAGTCCATCCTCTGCGGAAGCAAAATGGTTGCCATATACGAGGCTGCGCAGGGTAACGGAGGTGAAAACGCGTCTGGATACACTGTCAGTTCATGTTTCAGCAGTCGCATTTTCATATATATATATAGGTCGGCGGCAGGTCAAAGACGAGGGTTAGATTGGCACATGACACGCGTTAATCGGTGGTCCGAGCGAGCCCATACCTACTGACGTACACGGGAAGAGTGTGATGACAAGCAATTAATTAAGTAGTGTTGTAAAACTAATCACCTTGCAGCAAAATTCTATAATACTCCAGTTACCGCATGATGTCCGCTTTCGAG